TCATAGAGTACTTGATGATTAGCACCTTAAATTGGGTCAGATGTATTATGGGGTCAAAAGCAGAGGTTAAAATCTAAATTAATTTTAAAATCAAATCAGGTTAAAAATGTCAGAAAAATACAATGTAGATTGAATTACATTTTAAACACTAGTATTAACTTCACCAAAGGCATAGATTTATAAGGTGTTACTAGTGTATTGAGATTAAATAACAGGTAGGAATTCTTTAACACTTTGAACCTCTTGATACAGTATTCAGTATTATTCATGGTTATTCAATGCTCACCAAGCAAGTATTGACTTAACAAATTTCACATGGGATTATAGCAGTGGGCAAACATATCACTTTTTTTCACTGAAAAATTGTTGAATGGCTGCTCTTTTAGGCCCTGTCTGGCATAAATTGACTGGAAACCAGGCAAACCCAAGTTAAGTGTGTGGAATTCAGGATACACACTTTTAATCTGCCTCTTCTCAGACTCTGCTTAAATAGTTCAACTAAACTTCATAAATTACTATAAATCATGAATTTGTGCATATGATGGAAGACACTGTGTACTATTACTGTATAATTTTAAGTTTTACTCATACTCTAATTGGCTCTTAACCAGTGCTCATAATCTGGGAAGAACCTCAAAATTAAAATTGTACAAAGGATTTTGTACAGAGGATTGTGGACTGAAAAAATGAAAGTTTTCACATGTACAGTAGCTCCTTAGGTCCATTGAAAACAGTAGCATAGTTAGCATGTAGCATTGAGCTACTTAGGTGCCTAGTAAACAGCAGCAGTGGAAATACTTAGAATAGGTAAAACGTAGCAGTTGTGATACTTGGCATGTAACACTGAGTCCCGTGGTAAACGGTAGCAGTGGTAATACTTAGCATGTAGTGTTAAGTATCTAGGGTATATTGGTTATTGTATATTTCAGATATATAAATACGGAAGTGAAACCAACAGGTCTCTGGACAGCAATCCAAGTATGTTTGTAATTTAAGTGGAGAGAAGAACATATTACTCTACATTTTTCATGTAGCAATGCAGTTTGGAAAATCATAATCAATTACAAAATCATAATCAATTACAAATTTATAATCATTTATAAATTCATAATCAATTAGAAATCATAATAACAAAATCATAATCAATAATAAAACATAATTATTCTATGTAGTATTTGATTAGAATTAGTGAACTATTATTGTGTTCATTTTAGATTAAAGCAATACCCTTGGCCTATAAGTCCCATGTTAGTGAATAAAGAGACCCTAAGCACTAGCAATTCTTTTTTTTTTACATTTCACAACAGCTGTTAACCCCTCTCGGGGCCTAGCAGCAACATTGATGACAGCTCTTTGGGCTGCTTTTCAATTGCCCTCTCAGTCTATCTCCAGTTGTCTGAAATCCAATCTTCAGTACTGTACCTCTATACCTCTCGCTAAGTTGTTTATAAAATACCTTAAAGGGCCCCAAAAGGCGACCTTAATAAGCCACATCAATAATTAAATTATTTTTAATATAATAAGTTGAATTTTTATAAGGCATGTACCTATCTACATCTATAGAATCTACAATGTTAATTAATGACACATAGGAAAGAAAACTAAATTATTGCCAACATAACTAGTGTTTCAATTGTTTGAATAATTAATGAATTATGATTATTAATTAATTATATAATACAATATTAATCAAATTAGGGATAATATTAAATATTTAGTTATTATATGGCAATTTGGATTCTTAATGTAGGTGTAAGCTAAAACTGTTGGATCCTATCCAAGATTTCAAAACATAGAACTCATAACTTTCAATGATTGTAGACAATATCTAAATGTGATCAAATTCCTAGAAATGATGTATTGTATTAAGGAGGCTGTTAACATTATGAAAATTGGCCATATACCCTCCAACACCTAACAGAAACAAACCATACCATGTTGCATACGGAATAAGTCTATTACAGGTGGAAGAGTTAACGATAATTTTAACAACATACTGGCTACCAAACAGATAAATTCTCCAAAATTATAATTTGCATGATCATTTAAGTTTATCACATAAAATCAACTACTTTAAAAAAGCAAAAAATCATTAAATTTGCTGCCATGATTTAAGTGTAAACTTTATATACAGTAGGACATACAAAGTTCATAGGAATGCTATCATTTAAATGTTAATTTCTTGTTCTAAATTTCATTTTTTTCAGGTATATCTTTCCTGCACTGAATTTTCAAATTTCAAACTAAAATTACTTCAATATCACCAACCCTTCATAACAAGACAGTAAAAGATCTCCACTTCCATCCTGAATGTAGAGTCATTCGCTGCTGAATAAACATTTTTCTTTTTTTTTTTTAAATGATTTTTTTTTTGGACGGTATCAACATTTTTAAACTTAAAGGGTAAAATTGACAGATAAAACTTTCTCCTTTTGTAGTTTGCGGTGGTCTTAAAATTTTGTTCTTGTACGTGAATCTGAAAGTTTTTGGTCTTAAGAATACAATTTGGACAGGGTCATAGGAAATAAATGTAACAAAATTATCTGTTTTCATTTCCTGTTACAAATATCTTGGGGGTCAAAAGTTCATATATGACAAGCAGAACCGTTGTTATCGCATAAAAGTCAACAAAAAATTTTGCAAATAGGCCCATGTCATTTATTGGACTAATCGTTAAATAGCAGGAAATTAATTGTTACACATTGAATATGAAGAATTCCTTCAAAGACTATGCTTATCAATCATAGACATAATGTACCATATTGACAGTGATATAGGTTTGCAACACCTGACAAACAATTCATACCGGGCCTACATATATTATATAGAAATTCTAACTTGAGGTAGGCCTCATTGGGGTGGTTGCCAAGAGCTTAAGCCCCTCATTAAACAGACCAACCTCCCATGAATCGCTGGACCGAAAAAGAAAAAACAAAATTGGGGAGGCATGTTTTTATCTATCAGAATCATGTAAAATGCACTGCCCAGTTCCTCCAGGCGGCAAAAGCCTTAGCAACCAGTAGAAATGATCAGAACCACTGTTGGACACGGAATCAACCCCTCCTACTCCCTAAATTAGTATCTCACAGCAACATTGTTCTTAATGAGGACTAAAAAATAAAGAAAATCCTTATGATCTAAAGGATCTAAATGATAAAAACAAAACCTAGTCTTCAAAGTGCTATAATTGTCATTGTTTTGTTTACTTAAAAAATGTATAACTGACGACATTCTGCAAAAAACAACATTAATATAATAAACAATAATGATATTGAATTGCTTGGTTACCTGGTGATGAGGACAGCGTTGTCATGGTGAGCAATCCCATCTTCAGTAGCATTTTCCACATTATTTAATTCTTGCCAATTACAAAAACTGCTTAAAGAGTGTTCAGCATGATGGTTAATATCTAAATCAGGCTGTAAATATAAATGAATGTTATACTTGAAATATTTTAATGCATTGTTTTTTCTTATCAAGTTGATAATTATTCAATTTTTAAGATGCATACTTACCTGATCTTCAACTAATAAGATTAATCGTGAAACTACAATGTTCACCGAGTTACCAATACTTTCATCTTTATATAAACCAGAGTTGAACTACATGTTTTCTTTAATTCATTCTTCTCTCTATCACGTTTTTTGCTTGACATAAATTGGTACAGGGCTCATGACTAACACAACACTAACTGTTGAAGTGTATCATATTGCATCTCAACAAGTTCATCTTAAGCAACCTTTTGCTACAAAGCCCAGAAAAGAATATAAAATTTTATTTGACAAAAATATGTGACATGCCTAAATATGGTCATGACATCACATCATAACCATATATAGGCATATCATGACTATATATAGGCATATCATGACTATATATAGGCATACAACAGTTTCTGTCCAAACAAATTCAATGGCGGATCTAAGGGGGTCAGGGGCTCCTGAAACTCCCCCCCCCCTTGGGGAAAAAATTAACAATTCTGGACCTACCTGTGAGCTGATTTTTTTTTTTTTTTATTACAATGGGAGAATTAGAAGTCGGGAAGCTCATTCCCACCATCTAGGAATCAAAATTTTCCTGGGGTAGGACCTCGCCCGACCCCCTTTCTTTTGGGGTTTATCAATTTATTAAGTGGAGTGAATGCATTTTAGTCATGAGAAAAATCATGATGGTTCATAGGATTTGAACTTAGAATTATGACATAGGAAGACAAGTACCTTTTTTCACTAAGCTACAGCTCCAATCACATGACATTGACTATTATCTGAGCTGAGAAAGTCATAATGTATTCTTAAATATCCCAAATAAGTGTGAAATGTTACTATTTTAATAAATAAGTATACGCATACATTGTGGTTTCTTCTATGTTTTTCCTTGTAACAAAAATATTTACAAAAGTTAACACAACAAACTGAACCGTCTCTGTCTTCATGATAAATAAAGTTAAGGTTCAGTTTGTTGTGTTGCCTACTATACATATAACAAAAACATTTACAATAGTTAACCAATACACTGAACCACAATTCTTTTTTTTATCATTATGACAGCGAAAGCTATAAAATAGTAAAATTTATTACAATTAAATGGAAGGTCTAACATTTTACCGCATGTAATCAGTTTTAAATTGATCTTATTTATCTTTATATTCTGTAGTTTGGACTCTCAAACGAAGTAATTGTAATAATACAATATAATATAATAATTTCAATTATAATAATGGGATTGAAAAATCACCAATCAGGTTTCTCTGGGTATACCGTCTCGCCCACAGGAATTTGACCTATCCAATTAGCTTCAAGTAATTGCTTGTGCCATGAAACATCAAAGTGTACTTCTAATAGGTCATAAATTTGGCAGAAATTCAACAAGATTAATCTAGGTTAGAACTGTCTTCCAAGTTTTATAGTCTTTCTCATTTTAGAGATGAAACTTAAATCTTTAAAATAGAAATCACATTATAAAAAGATTATGGACAAAATATTGGTACCTTATGTTGGAAAACTATAATGAATAAAAAGTCTTGGAGGAAAGCACTACAGGAAAAGAAAGATGGAGCAGTACTTCATACATTATATTTTTTTTCGCGCCGCACCTTTATTCTATAACGATCAAGAGGAAACAGTCATTAAGAAACTGTAGGTAGTGGTAGCTTTTACTATGAAGAAATGGGAATTCCGAACTAAGCAATACGCATGCGCAGTCACTAAATAACGTCCATGAATTATCTATTTAATTTTTTATATGTTTTATTGCATTCCCTTGCGTAATTGTAACTTGCAATTTGGCCATTGCCCACAAACTGTTAAAAATGAGGAACTTGTACTTGAATTTGAATAAAGTGAAATAATAACACAATGAGCATGCACCTGGAAATGCTAGACAGCCAACGAGCATGTGCATTGACTAAGTGACATTATCGGGCCATGTCGAGCATCCGCAGTTACCAAAAAGACGTTGCAGGAACCAAATACGGCTGCGAAGAGGGTATGGTTACCAAAAAATTGTCTGAGGAACCAAACAATGGCTGCGAAGAGGGTATGAAATAGAAACGGATCAAACTTTATATGCAACAATTAAGCATGCGCAATTCAGCTAAAGCGATCAGGTTATGGATGGAAAATAATGAGAACACGAGCAGGTCGAAAAGCCTCTATTTTGGCTATCTTTACAGACAGTTATCAGTCTTTGTCAGGAGGAATTGTAATTAAATTATTGCAATAAAAGGTTTATTAGGCTCTATGCATTGAAATTCCAATAAAAAATAACCACAGAAAATAACGACACAACCTAGGGCCTGCTACTAGCCATTTAGCGGAGCCAGGGTATTCCACATTTATTGTGTCGAAAAATATGCTGAAAAGGGTAAGGGTTAACTATTATCAAGATATCGTACAGTACCCATGCTTTATCGACCCATAAAAAATAGCCACACACTGGCGGCAGTAGTAGAAGGGCCTGCCAAGCTAGTGGGGAGGTGGATGAATACAAATAAATAAAACAATATTTAAAATATTTTTATATTATTATTATTAATATTAACAACAATAATGGTAAAATTGCGGTTTGGCTCAGTGGTTTTTCATTCTGGTTGTTGAACTTGTAATCAGCAAGAGTACAAACCAAATTGAAACGGTGTCCAATCTCGGGCGGCCATGTATAAATACCCCAAATTGCATTGTTGATAGGCTGTCAAGTGGCTAAGGCTATGTTTCAGCCATATGATAGGTGCAAGCATTTTCATGACATATAAATAAATTGTAGTTAAGTATTAAGCCTCTTAAAAAACAAAAAGAAAAAAAAACAGTAACAGACCCCATGGATGGCATAATGAACAAGGGAAAACAACGTAAAAAAATTAAGAGATGCGATTGATATTTAATATTGGGGAAGAGTGAAATGGTATAACACAGCAAGAGAGAAAGATTAATTTGGCGTTGAGATCCTGAAGCAGTTGTCCAGACGTGGACCGACAATAGCTGATGATGAAGCCTCTGAAGGTTATCAACATAATTAACTTACACACACATGCTGGTCAGTCAACAACAGTGAACAAATATAATCTTAAATATAGAAATAAATAATCAAAATTAATGCCGAAATATTACAATGAAAATCCAAATTGAAGAATTGAGGCAATCAATACAGTAAATTATGTACTGTCATAACAAAATTCACACATAAAAATTAGGAATTAGCTGTATTAACAAATTGAATAAGGTAGATGTTGCAGCGTTTTTTTTATAGGAAATATTGCTTGCTTATAAGAATAATAACATTTTGCCCAGGCCCAGTGTTTTTATTTTTCGCCAATTTCAGGTTCAAAATGTTCCTATTTTGTTCTTATTTTACACTTTTCTTTTTTTCTTTTATTTAGAATTAACATACAACCACAAATAACAGTAAATACAATAACATATCTGAATTCTGGGATAACAAAACACAATAAAGTAGCCAAATGGCCGACTAATTTGCATTGTGGTCCCTGAAACAATAACTAACACAAACACAAAAATATATATATTATAATTTTAACTCTTTAAATAAACCATCTGCCCCTGGAAGAAAATAATTATTTATCCCACCTCACTGTGCCTATTTGATAATATTGAATACAGATGTAACTTTAATTTCTTTTTAAAGATTGATATACTTTTAATTTCCTGAATTACACACTTTTCAAAGGTAGAAAATTATTATTGTACAGTCCTGTACTATATTATAGAGGGTATTACATATTCACGCCTACTGCACATAACGTACAGATAACACCAAAGGGATTTTACTGGTTTTTTTTATTGGTTTTTCTAGGTTTTTTAAATCTTTTTACATATTTTACCTCACTCTCAATTTATTCTTATTTTGTTCTTATTTTTAAGTAAATTCAGTCTGTGTTCTTATAAAAAAGTGTATCTTCTTTAAAATTGAACAATTTACGTAATTGCATTTTTCCAGAATTATAAATTGTTTGTTTCCTTCAGTAACACTATAATGATCTACCTTAAAACACCGAATGACTTCCTTCAAATTCAAATTTTGAACCTAGTCATTTTAAACTTAAGTAGTTAATATTTTCTTTGGACTTGCAAGAATTGTTTAGTCATATGCCCTCAACTGTCTGTCTTCTTATCTTTACCTACTGGCAACACATTTCAAGGTTTTACAAGTGGAAATCAGTTTGTGTTGACTGATGGTGCTTGTAGAGTATAGATCAAGAGGTAGTAAAGCATGGTTAAAACTGAAATAAGCTTACATTCCCACTAACATACCAACATTTTAGTTACATATTTTGAAATTAAAGTAATTCCAAATTTGAAGTTTCGGCTAATTTAAAAAAAGTAAATATTCAAATACTGCTATTAAATTCATAATTAATGAATAAGGGTAATGCTTTCAAAGTCAATATTTCCTAGTGTATAATAAGAGAGGCATTGCTTTAGTTTAAATTTGCTACTGAAGGCTAAAATATAAAGCACTGGACTTATTGTACAAAGTTCTTTATTTGGATGGACAGAGGAGAGAAATCAGGGAAAAAAGTGTACACTGCTAGGTTAAAGGTCAGGAACACAAGTTTCAGTGATGCTGCAGTCTGACAGGTAAGGTGTCTTCTGATTGGTCATTTGTTCAAGGCCACACCCCTGATTTTAAGTAGCTGTACAAGTAGTTTCCAGTGCAGAGATTGCAGATGATTTAGTTCTGTATCTGATTTTGCAATATTTATGTTGAGTTTACCATATTTTAAAGATTAGTTTCATGCAATGGGAGATCTAGGAATTTGAAATAGAGGGGCCCCATGGAGGGACTTTTCCAGATGGAGGATCCATACCACCTTAACCTCACCTCTTTTGGTTGAAAGGAAATAGCAGACTCAAACTTGAATTTTCTCCACTTTTTAAAAATAATTTACAGTACAGTAATTTTCAATATATTCTGCAAACATTTTTTAAAACTTTCATTTAGGGGGAAAACCTTCACATGAATCAATAACCGTAGGTCGATTTGTCAAATTCAATCTCAAACAGAAAGGAAACGTTGACATATTTTCACAGCAATATTATTATTATAGTATTAATACAATAGCAGCTGATGTGCATTATCTAGGTGCATTTGTGGGAAAAATATGGTATTATGTTTACAATAACAACTCAAGTTAGAATCAATATTTTGAATCATACTAAAAGAAGAAATGAAATCAAGATAAGACTAGAGGATGTGATAAAACAAATACAAGATTATAGCATAGTAAGTGAACATACTGAAATTATTCACCATTTTCAAAAGCAACTTACACAAATTATTGACACTATCTTGGATTAAAGATCTAACAAATTTGTTTTCTTCCTAACCATCTCCAGAAAAAAAAAACCAATAATATGTATCAATACATTAATAATTTATTAATAGTTAATGTCATTTAAAATAATTACATATTTACTATTAATAATTCATTTAATAAGACTCAATTGAAGTGGTTAAATTTTTTAACTGCTTTTTTACCTTAACACCAACAGCATATTATCTTAAACAATAAACTTTTGATTACCATAATTTGGTAAGCATGTTTAAAGGCTCAAATAAAATTTATGATAAACTTAACTCAACCTCTAAGAACTCTAAACCAACATTCTTACTTCATATAGTCTGATATTTGGAATTTACCCTGTTCAATGACCCAACAGGTAATAATATAATAAACATAGATTTTCTCCCTCATTGGTTTTCTTTCATAACCTCTGTTTTTGTTTTCACCCATGAGTTATCAAAACCCCTGATTATCACTATTAATCACAACTGCCTCAAAATGCTTATGGTTACAATTCAATACCAGTACTGACCAGACATGACATCTTAAAATTCTACCTCTTCAAATAAACTAATGATTCTTAGAGAAACATACCCCGAGGCTTTTCAAAGAAATGCTCATTTATGGGACAATATTGTCAGTATTTGCAGAAGGCCTCAGCAATTAGAGCGTCTATCTCCTATCTCTACCGACATTTATTATTATTAATATGTTTCGAATGACCTGACATAGTCAAACATTTGACCCTACCAAATGCGCCTATTCCTAATATGCATAAAATAAGATTTTTAAATCAGTGTAAAACTAACTGTTTATTTAATGTTTGTAAGTGTGTTGTTTAATTAAAAAATGTATCTGCTATATTTGTCTTAGTTTATTTAACACAAACAATAATATCCCTGGTGCAAATAAAGCTCTTCTAGAAGACAGGTTATGATGGGGAAACTTTGTTGGTCAATGCCATAATCAAGGGCATCATAATCAAGGGCGAATTTTAAGTATACTCTCTCTCTCTCCCCTTCTCCCCTCTTTCTCTGTGCCTCAGTGGCTCTTTGGAATGACTTACCAACCAAAATTTGACAAGCAACTAACATCGACACATTCAAACAACTACTCAAAACACATCTTTTTATTTAGGCTTATATTTTGCTTAAATCTGGATTTCTATTTTTAATGTAAAATGCACTAAGGCTTGCAGCAAAAAAGCTTAATTAAGATCAAACTATTATTATTATTATTATTATACTATAATTAGTTTATATTCAATCTGATAGTGGTGGGTATCATCGCTGTTGGCTATTTACTGAATTAAAAACAAGTGAATAACAGGTTTTAGGAATGTTCTCCACCCAACTAGACAAATGTTCAATATAGAATAGACTGGTAAAACTGTAAATATGTCATTAGGTTCCTAAAGGTGTTTCACAAATTCCAAATACTCTCATACATTATTATTCAAATATACAGTAAGTCCATTTTTATAGGAATTTCAAACAATATTACCAGACTTTTGAATCAAGAGGGAGGATCTGAGTATGATCGTCAGTATAATAGTTCAAACTAGTAACCTTGTTTCTCATAAAAAAACACTTCAATTTAATTCATCTTAATTCTCTAAACAACAGATGGGCAATGTCAGTGTTAACTCAATTTCCTCTATCATCAACTATTATATAAAATCAGTAAACTGATTTCAATGATGATTGATAAAAGTACCCGTACTCACGATATTCATTATAGTTAGAAGATACTGTTCGACATCGTCAACTTTATGATGGGAGACCATTTTCTTATCTGCAACTACAAGCGTTTCCACATAGACCTCTGTGCTGAGAGATCGCTTCTTCCTCCTACTGGGAACTGCATCCATTCTTTCCGGTACATTCCTATTAGCTGGCAGGGGTTTAGTTGTTTTATGATTTGAATCTGAAAAACAATAAGATATTACAGTTTATCTAAATGATAATTCCCTGTATAACATACTGTACATTAGTACTCTCTATAAAATAAAATCCATTTCAGAATGCAAAGAAAGTAATATAATACCTCACATTGTACAGAAATTTCAAGTACAAGAAAATTAATTTTTTGTTCCATCTCACATTTTTCATTTGGGCCATTGCTTCCCTTTTTTCATGAAGTAAAATACCAAGAAAATCCTGCATTAATCCAATAATCCTAATACTGTAAGCAATTAATAGCTGTGGATGTCTGGGATTTAGATGTAAATAACTAACAGGCCAAATACAAAATGTAACTTTTCATTAAAATCATCATTTTCAATGTCTAGTAAATTTGCAAAACGAAGTCTTGCCCTACTAAGAACATTTATTAGCTTCAGTAAATTATAAATCCTTTGGCAGAGAATTGAGGAAATGATAGGCCTATTCATAAATTAATCCATCCCTTAATTATTATTAAATATATAAAATCCAAGGTAAAACAATGCAAATATGCCATGGCATATTCATCTGCACCTTAATGATATAAGCTGAATCTGTAATTCAATTATCCGAACAGTACTATTTAAACCATCTCCAATGACAGCCCAATATCTGGCGCCGGATGCACAAAAACATGGCCGCACAGTGGGTGTCTAAAGAACTTGTACACTGCATTTAACATACGGTACAACACCGATATGGTAAAAGGAACTTACCTATTAACACAATAATTTTCAATGTTGTATTAATATGTATAGCTAGGATATCACTAAATTGCACTTTACCATAAAGTCATAATATCTTATCTTGATTCCTAACAATACAGCAGTATTATTAATAAACACTGTCAAAACTATCTATGCACTGATCCAATACAGGTGCGTACACAATTTTCACTTGTCATACCTTTGGGGCTTTTGGGGGCCCTGGACATTAAAGGATCTGGTTCAATGAACTGCCTGAACCAATGACAAATGATGTATCTACCCTTAGACTCAACTTTCAATCATTCGGTTGGCAGTCCAAAGACTAGTATAGTAAATAAAAAAAATATCAAATGAATATTAGTGTGAAAAGGCCATGGATGTGTTTCATACCACACCACTATCAGTGAAGCTACATTTATAATACATCCATATCGTTTGCAAAACTTCATTCAATCAATCATCAATTAATTCACAATAACTCATTCTTTGACTCATTTTATCCATTCACAAAAAATTGATGAATTATTGACCTATGGCAGCGTTCCTTGTGAAGTATAACATTACAAAGGAACGATTTACATAGTCCCGTCAAGTTTTGATAATATAAATAGTAAGGAATTTCATCTCAATTAAGAAGAGCATTAGAAGTCAAATGGTTCAACTGGTTTGCAGATGAAGTTAACACCCATGTGTATACGCACCTACATTAATACATTCATTTCAAGGGATGGTACGATTCAACAGCATGTACGAGCTATCAGTTTCCAACATCCCACTGCTCAACCACTTTAAAACAATACTAAGTATTAATGCCAGGCGACCATCTTGCCTGCATCTGCCTTTAAACAAATGTTTGTTCTAAGAAATGTGAACTGCATACTTAAAGGGTTCTTTCAGAAGGTCCCAGTATATTCTAAATCTCTCTTCACACTATTATGTAAATCTCAGTTCACACTATTATAATTCTCTGTTCACAGTTATGTAAATCTCTGTTCCCACTATTATAATTCTCTGTTCACACTATTATAATTCTCTGTTCACACTATTATAATTCTCTGTTCACACTATTATAAATCTCTGTTCACACTATTATAATTTTCTGTTCACACTATTATAATTCCCTGTTCACACTATTATAATTCTCTGTTCACACTATTATAATTCTCTGTTCACACTATTATAATTCTCTGTTCACACTATTATAAATCTCTGTTCACACTATTATAATTCTCTGTTCACACTATTATAATTCTCTGTTCACACTATTATAAAGATTTCTTCATACTATTATGATAATTTTTTTAAATTTTGCACTTCCTCAGCATTTTGTCAAAATGTTGAAAATAATTTTTTTTTAAATGTTTGGGTCACACTACTACATTGAGTATATCAGTAATTTTCTTATACTCTATGGGCATGATAATGTCATAACACATTCTGTATATCACCTTAAACAAGTCAACTCAGCTTCCCCCTCCTTGGGGTATATACCTAGTCAATACTTATTTTGACCTATTAAAATTCTTTACAAATTAATTTATAAAAGATTAATTAAACTTTTTATTCTTACTTGTCATTTTAATATTTTCTACTCTACTTCCCTGTGCCTGCCAAATTTATGAGAAAAAAGTACTAACCAAAACACAATGTATCACAAAATGTACTTTTATGACATTTTGTATCTTGTATCTTTATACAATACACGACATTTGTTGACAGACACTGAGAATAGAACCAAATCAATGGAATCTAAGAGAAAACTACTTACACCTAAGTGTTTTTTGAAGCAGATTTGTAGCTACCAATCCAATAAGAGGCTTAAGTACATGGCCCAATGGTCCACTCAAGTCTAGACATGTCAAGCAATTTCATTAAGTGGTGAATGCAGAAAGAGTAAGGTAGGCTAACTAAAACTTAGTATACCTTACATTTTCCATGATAGCAGCCATGAGAGTAGGGAATAAAGAAAAGAAACTAGAACTACAAGCTTAGTCCAAAGACACAGTTTTCCATATGTTTTAAAGGCAGGAATCATTAAATACTAATGAGTTATGAGGAAATAGAAGCATTCTTACCATAAATCTTTAAACAAAAAGCTATTAAAAAACAGTTGTTCATTCATTAGACAAAGAAGGGTGTTCTATAAGGTCAAAAAATAAGGTTTTCTGCCTGAATTAAGGTGGAGTATTTGGAACCAATCAAGGCTTCCCCATCCTCATGGGAAATTGGCAATTCACCGCTAAATTCCATTCATACAAATATTACTAAGAATTCTGGGATAGTATTTAAGGTATTTCTCTAATAATGACATCTAAAATATATTTTTTTCTATTCTTAACAGATCATTACACAGTAAAAGTACAGAAAAGTACATTAGTATTACTCCATGGATGTACACATACCATGCAAATTGACAGAGGGTTCAGCAACTCTGATGAGGGTGCAAACCAAGGAACCTTAATGGTGTCGGACGATATGGTCTACACTTTTCTGACACGTAATGCACAGTTACCAACCGTCTCGCATCGTGTGGGACGGTCCTGCATTTTAATATGATTTTGGATGAAACACGCATTTTGCAGAAACACATGCGTGATCATAAATTTGTCATGCATTTAGCACAAGTCTATGCGTGATAACAAATTATTAAGAATTCCTGGGAAAATGTATTTGAAAAGAGAAGAAACTGGTTTTATTAAAAATAGGACGAACTTGAGTCATTAGAGAGTTTTCGTTATCTGGTTCGAGAATCAATTCACCAAGAAAATTTCTCTTTTTTCGACCAAAATAACCCAGCCAACTATGCACTTAGTAAAATGAGGCGCATGCGATCTTGTGCGTTCATTGTCACAACCAACCGTTGATTATGTGACTCAAACCCTACCTCCACCGGGGCTCCGCCCCTGAACCCCCCCCCCCAGCCAACTGGTGTAGTCACACATTTCAAATCTCTCAGGTTGGTAACTATGGTACTGATGTTCAGTTTCCACCTCGCCCACTGCTAAAAATACCACTGATCCAATCCAATCTTTGACTTACTGTATAAGGCGCATTATACAGTTGGTTTCCTTTATTTTTTCTTTATTCTTTTGCAGAGACCCTTAATTGTTGTGGCATTAACCAATACTTTTCAAAGTAAAATGTCAACAAATTTTTTTTTAAATCAGTGAAGAATAATTTTATCTTTGTCGTCGTTGAAAGTTGATAAAACTTTGATTATTTTCCAGGAATTGAACAATTCCTTTCTAAAGCTCTGTTCACACTGTCATGTAACAAAAACATGTGATATGCCCATATTTGTGTAATGACATCATCATGCCCATGTGTATGGACACACACATTTGTCAATTACAATTTGATAGTGTGGACAGAACTTATTATTGAATTTTGTTAGGTTGTCCCAGGGGCGGATCTAGATGTCCAAAAGGGGGGGGGGCGCGAAGGGGGGCGAAGGTGGGGCCGAAAGTTGGCCGATCGAGACAACACTGTCCTACTGTAGAGGGTCGGGGCATTCCCCCGTGAAATTTTTGTGTTCTAGAGGCCTGAAAATAACATTTGAGGCGTTCTGGGCTATCATTTTTTTCTTTTTCTTTTTCTTTCTATTTTCCTTTTTTTTTCTTTTTTTACTTCCTAAAAGGGGGAGGGGGCAGGGCCCACCTAAATCCGCTCCTGTGTCCAGATGTTACCACAGATGGTAAACCTTTAAGAAAATAAATTAAATGTTCTGGCCATTAAAATGTGTATATTTTATATAGGACACTAGAAACTGTCATGTAAATATATTCTTCCTTCACTTCAGGTGATGGAATTAAAACTCCATAAACCATATAAATCAAATTTAAAGATTTCAGATGTTGACTTCTTGTTTGGGGACCACCCGGTCTTCAAATGTAGAATAGCTTATCATTATATTTAAAGGTACAGTATTTCATACTAGACCAATCTGATAATATTATAATGATACAACTAAACACTTTATAAAAATAATACATATTCCAGACAGTTTGATTTAACAGGACAATTGTGAGAGAAATTAGTTTGTTTGTAATGATATCCGATTATATTTATGTTTAACAGTTCAGTTAGGTGACTATTTTCACATTTTATGCTAAGCTTCACAAATTCAATGAACACCCTCTATACCGGTAATATAAACGCAAGCCTCATTTATTTCATCAGTCAAAATAAGCTTCTCCTGCAGTGAAGAATCCAAAGTACAAAATATCAATGATTTATCTGTGATGAGGGAATACATGCTCTTTAGTTGAACTTCATT